TCTTTTAAAGGACATTTTCCATAGGAACACTAAGAATAGATTTGATAAATCAAATACAAGATAAACTTGCACATCACATGACTCCTACCCCAGTTATCTAGTTTCTATAAGGGAACTAGCACTAATGGATGGCTCTGACCATTAGAAGTTCACTGTCTCCAGCAGAGGCAGCTGGACAGCTGACCTCAGGCGCCAGCCTGAGGGGAGGGCTGCTTTCTCTCTTCACAGTGTCCCTTCCTCAGTGATCACGCGGTGTGTGTCTCCTCTATTTGTGTTGCTTAATCTGCTTTGTTGTATCTTAAAAGAGATTAATTTAACCTTACACGGATACTCCCTTATTCCTATCACAAAGAAAATCCCTTCTCAAATAGGATTATCACCACAGGTTAGCATTTATAAGACATACTTTTGGAGGACAGAATTACAAGAACCAACCAATGATTTTTAAAGATAACAGAGTAACCCCTGTGTGTTTGTTAACAGTCCATTGTGAATATCAGTGAGCTAGGAATAGAAGCAAGGAAAAGACTTATTTTTTACCATATGGTGCCCCCTCCTAAGACATAAAATGCTATGATTTTAAAGAGTTCATAAAAATATAAATTCAATGGTAAAATGTAAAGTCAACAGTGATGCTCTAATCACAGCATCAGGGAGCTCTGGTGGCCTAGTCTGTAGTGAGTTGTGTTGCTAATATAAAATAAAGGCCATGCCTCGCTGGTGCTTCAAACCACCAGCAGTATCTTGGAGGGAAAGATGAGCAAACTCCTTCACTAATGCATAGCTTCTGAAACCCAATGGAGGGTCATCTATGAGTCAGTTCCAACTTGAACGCAATGAATTTAATTGAGATGAATCATAGCATTACTAATTAAACTTATCTGGTTATATGCTGGCAGTGGTACCAGCTAGCTGTGTGACCCTGGGTAAGCTACATAACCTCTCTGAGCTTTGGTTTCCTTCAATGAGACCCAGCACATAGAGCTGCGATGAGTAATTCGGTGAGCTGTTGAATGGAGCTGTTGTTATGTGCCATTGAGTAGCCTGCAACTCATAGTGACCGTATGTACACTAGCCTGCCCTATCCTGAGCCTGTCTCACTGATCCTGACATACCCACTCCCATTTCCCCAGTTACTATGTCAATTCATCTCATCCAGGGTCTTCCTCTCCTGCACTATCCCTCCACCCTCCAAGCATGATGTCCTTCTCCAAGCACTGGTCCCTCCTGTCCACATGCCCAAAGTATGTGAGATGGAGCTTCAAAATCCTTGCCACCAAAGAGAAACTTGGTTTTACCATCTCCAAGACAGACCTATTTGTTCTCTTGGTGGTCCAAGGTATGTTCAATACTCTTCTCCAGCTTTACAACTCAAAGGCATTGATTCTTCTTCTGTCATCCTTAGTCATCATCCAGCTCTCTAATGCATAGCAAATAATTGCAAAGACCATGGTCTGAATCAGGTACACCTTAGTCCCTAGGTTGACATCATTACTCATTAGCACTTTGGAGAGGACTGAAAATAGACTTTCCCAGTGCAAATCACCTTTTGATTTCCTAATTGCTGGTGCCAAATGTTGATTGTGGAGCCAATCAAGCTTTGAGTGGGGTAGGAATTTCTGTTTTATTGAAGAATAAATTGAGGCTCAGTGATATTAAGTGACATCTACTCCAGGCTGTACAACTTCTAGAAAGAATGGTGCTCAGACTTCAAAGTAAGGGTGCTGACTCATTCTGTAGTTAGTTCTCCTTCCTGTTATTAATTTTGGGGGTGGGTGAGTTTCAATGGTAAATATAATTAACTTTCAATGAAGATGACCTTTTTCATACTGTGGATAATAAGTTTTAGAATAAAAGGGAAAAATAAAAGGAGAATAACAATAACTGTGGCAGAAATAGTACTGGGTGAACATTGTAAATGGGTGAATTGCATGGTGTACAAATTACATCTCAATAAAGCTTTCTAAAAAATATAAAAAAATTAAAAATAGCACTGGATAAGGGATGAGTAATGTGGGATTTAGAAGTGGTGTGATTCTGAGGAAGTACCATGTTCCATGCGCTACCTATGAAATAGAGACACTGTTATCTGCATTGTCTGTCTCAGGGAATCCAGATAGAACTACTAAATCAGAATGACATTAAAGAGGACTTGATCACAAATGGGCTTTATTTCTTCCTTTCCAATGGTACACGAAGGGGCCTCCTAAAAGAACAGGAAAATAAAAAGCCCACCCCCACCTGCAGGCACACACCTGTTCATGAGGTCATCCATTCTTAAAATACTGAAGTCACAAAAATATCAGCAGCAAAAGTTCCGGAATATATACACGACATGAGCTGGCTTCCCTCTGGCACTGTTAGAACACCATCAGGAAGATCTATTCTCCAAACCCAGGACTTCCTAGTCCATTAGCACAACAGGTTGGTCCACAGCTCTGTTTCACCAACCACACAGGCCAAAGTATAAAAATAAACTCAGCTGTGGTGAGAATAATTCCAGACTTATACCAGAACCCAAACTCTCCAGGGTTTACCCCCGTTCAAAGGCACCGTGTTCTACCAGACTCTGCAGAATTTCCGTCACATTTTATGAAGGAAATGTAAAATGAAATGGTACCTGTTTTCTCTTTCAGAAGGGACACCATTTCCCCTTTCCAATTTCCTGTTTTACTCATTTTATAGAAATGAAACATCAATAACCCTAGGTTTTATACAAGTAAAGACAAAACATGATTTTCCACTGCATTCACAAGACTTAGGTCATTTTTGCCCCAATTCCTACAGAGTGGTGAGCTTAAAATCAAGCCGTTTAGCTCACAGTCAAGTCCAATAAATCAGTGAAAAAAAATAAATGGGAAAGCATCCCGAAATGTAACCATGGTAACGCCACAGATGCGTCAAGAAATGGTGTGCCCGTTTGCTTCGTTCCCCATTTCTTAAATTGGATTCTAAGTAGGGGAAAAATTACACAGAGAACAATCATGATTTTGCAATTACTGAGTTGGGCAAAATTGCACTCAGCCTCCTGTCCTGTAACTTAAGAGATAGTGACGGTTCAGCTAGGAGAACTGCCCAGGGCAGCTTGAGAGGCAAAAACATCTGGGCCTGCCACTCATCAATAGCTTGGTCTTCCTGAGCCTCTGTTCCTCATCTGTACAATGGATGCTAAAAGCTCCGACTTCAAAAGGTTATTAGAAGATTAAAGCATGGATTCTGGAAACCTGATGCTCTGGTCCTCTTAGCCACATGTGTCTACTCTGTGTGTGGGTTCCACTTAGTACTGTAGTTTCCTGCTCTGTAAAAACAGAATAATATCTGACCCACAAAATTGATTAAAAGTAACAATTATTATCAATCTCAATATAAAAATCACTATTAGGATTACAGTTTCCACTCCAGTTCTGAAAAACTAAATGAGCTGAGGGCCATAAATTCACATTAACGCATTATCAGACTATTTTCTCTGTACAGCGCAGCTCTGTCATTCAACAGACTATGGGGCCTTCCCCAACTTATTTACAATCATACACCTCTCCTCCATTCTGAGCCTCAGTTTTCTTAATCAGGAAAAGAGAATGCAAGGGGCTATTGGAGAACCTGACCTTGAACTTCGCATCTAATTCACTCACTTGTGTCAAGTCAAATCCATGATATGCCTGAGAGGAACCTTGATTATGACGCTGGAGAAGTATCAGGATACGCTACCATTACAACACAGCATAAGCAAAGTACAATTTTTTTAAAGAAAAACCATTCCAAACAAACCAACCACAGCAATAAGGTACCCTGGATCTTCAACTGTCCTCCCCCTACCCCCACCTTTTGCTGGTTAAAACTAAGCAAACACTCATTACTTTCAAGGAAAACTTTTCAACTTTGAATGAACTATGTAACCATTGAAAACTTCCAAGCAAAGAAATAGGAGCCGTTTTTCCTTATTATTATGAATGAAATAACAGAATGTCTTCCCCACAGTCCATGCCACTGTGTAATCAAGTAGTACTGAGAACTTGGTAGTATTTCACTGCAATTTCGGTGCCAGTTTACCATGTTCCTGAGGACCTCAGCTCTCGAAGGGAGGAATCCAGGAAGAGGCAGTGACTGGCAGAGCACAGGGAGGAAGACAGGATCCATGTCCTTTTTCTTCCTTTCTCCTTTGTTTCCATTTACACAAAAACTCTGCTTTCAGAGAACCCCACTTTATGACTTATTTTCCCAAATTTGGTCCAATGCAATTCAAAATTCAAAATGAAGCCAGATTTTATTTCTGCAAATAGAAACCCCTATTTCTGAAATCCTGATTGATGAATCAGATAAAAGCTGGCTGAATGGAGGAAGGATACTGGGGGCAGGGTAGGAAGAGTACATTCAGCTCTTCTCCTTGCTGGGGTGGGGGTGATCATCAGAGACCCCTTAGTCTCCCCAGAGAAGAGTCTGATGGCTTCTGCCTCAGTCACTGTGGCTGCCAGTTGATTTCTGATGAGCCCATGAGTACAGGGCAGAACCACTCCAAACACGGACCTCCAGGACTATCCTCTGACACACCTCTGGGTGGATTAGAATGGTCAGCCTTTCAGCTAGCAGCTGAATGCTTAAATGTGCCATCCAGAGCTCCCGCTGCCCTCAGTCATTCCGTTAAGAACAATGTTTATGGGCATTGCCCCATGACAGCACCTCCCAAAAGAGCTAGGTGCTGCATCCCATTCACTCCTCATTACAATTCTATGACGGTACGTATTCGCAAGACGAGTTTTTCAAAGGATAAAAAATTATCCCAGCAGTATCAAGTCATAAGTAGCAGAGCTCGTCTAAAGCCTGGGCATGCACAAAGGTCCGTGAGATTCACCAGAAGGCAACTCAATGTCCCAGGGTCCGTTAGGAATCACTGGACTTAGCAAGTCCACCAAGAGCTCCCAAACAATTGGTGGAGCCTTCTGCTCCTGACTTGTCATCCACCCACCCAGCACTGAGACGCCAAAGTTGGGTCAGTTACTCACAAGGCACAGCATGGCGGTAAAGGTTATCCCTTATGGTCTGCTGCAGCTCATGGTCAGGAGACCCCTTCTGGAAGCGCTGATTGAGAAAATGTCGCAGGTCTTTGTTCAGCCTGCCTCCTGCAGGAAACATAAAACAGACAGAGCAAGTCAACAATAGGCTTTCCTGATGATACGAGCTGCAGGAAAACCACACAGAGCAAAGCAAGGCAACCACCCTGAGTCACCAGGAGCACCACCCTCCTGTCAGCCTCCCTCCCTCTGCAGGGAAAGAGGTGTCCCAGAACACTGTAAAGACAAAATAGCCTTGAAATGGTGTGCACTGGGGGTCCCATCTCACATCACACTGCAGAGCTAAAATAACAAAGATTTCAAACTAGGCTATTCCATTTAAGACCTGTGCCATAGACACTCACAGAAGCTATTAGTGGGATAGTAAATGGCTGGAACATTCAAAAAGACAGTCCAGCAAGAGCTATCAAATGATAAAGTGTGCTCGGACCAGGGATTCAATTGGTAAGATGTTATCCTATGGATATGCTTGCAAAAATCTGCCAAAACCCCCAATATTGTTTACTGCAGCATATACATAGGCATGCACAGCTATGCAAATGTGTATATATATATGTAAAATACATATGTATGCATAACTATAGACAAGTAAATAAAAACAAAACCAAATAATCCCAGAAGCAGTCAAAAGGGATGAATTACGTAAAGCTTAGTTCATCCATATCACAACTTGTTGTTGTAGTTATGTGCCATCGAGTCACCTGTGACTCACAAGGATCCCAAGTAAAACAGCCCTAAACTCTGCTCTATCCTGAGCCAATCTTACTGTCTCTGACACAGCTACCCCCATCACTCCAGTCACCGAATCAATCCATCTCATCGAGGGTCTTCCTCTCTTGTGCTGGCCCTCCATCTTCCCAAGCGTTATGTCCCTCTCCAAGGACTGGTCCCTCCTTAAAACATGTCAAGTGGAGTTTCAGAATCCTTGCCTCCAAGGAGCAGCCAGGTTTCACCCTCTCTAGGATGAACCTATTTATTCTTCTAGCCATCCATGGTATATTCAATACTCTTCTCCAGCACCAGAGCTCAAAGGCATCAATTCTCCTTCTAACCTCCCTAGTCATTGTCCAGCTTTCTGATGCATAGCACAACTATGCACAAATTAGATTCTCAATGTGCTGCTATTGTGGGAAAACATATAGAGCACTACGTCTGATACTTTCTAGAAAAACTAAGATAACGGAAGGAATCATAGAACTTTTAAGTGATTTTAAAATCTCAGACATGTATTTCTTTTTAATTATTCTTATTTTTAAGCAACAGTGATCCAGCAGGAGGAGGAGAACTCTGCTTATTTCCACACAACTATACTTAACAGAAGGAGCCCTAGTGGTACAGTGGTTAAGTGTTTGCCTACTGACCAAAAAGCTGGCAGTCTGATCCCACCAGTTGCTTCCTTGGAAACCGTGTGGAGCAGTTCCATTCTCTCCTACGGCGTCACTAGGAGTCACAACACAACCAGATGGCAAAAGGGCTGGTTATTGGATATTTAACTAAACAGACAAATGAAATGTGTCTAGAAAGGAAAAGTTAAGCACTTCTTCCCTTTATAAATTATAAGCGCAAATTGCAACCCACAGGGCCAACATGGCTTACAGACCAACTTAGCTAACATTCACTTTTAATGAGAAAGTCCCGTTAGCGACAGCTAAGAATAACAGAGCTAAGATTGCCCTTCCATTTTCAGACAAGATAAAAATTAAGTAAGAGCTTTTCTAGCCCTAGAGAAACAATGCAGCAACCCAGTGACCAAGCAAGTCACAAAATTCACATGGTTAGATAATAACTTCCCTTTGGTCAGAGAGAGTAAATCAGGAGGGTGACAGCAATGGCAACAATGATGCACTTTCTTACGTACGACTCACCTTTATTTTAATATTATGTTAAATGAAATGGCCTGTCACAGCTGCTCACTATAGAACAGACTAATGAAATCGAATGTGGACTGCTTGAATTAAGTTGTATGATAACTAAAGTTTCAAATGGATGCAAGGAAAATACACATATTCAAGCCAATCTTAAGTCAATCAAAAATTCAAGCATTTATTAAATAATTATTGAATTAAGATAAAGAGCTACTCACTCCTAGCTAACCTCTCCCCTACCCAAAGGATATAAAAATTGAATAGATAATTCACACCAAAAAGACACATGGTTATCTTATACATTAAAAGATGTTCAATATCATTAGTCATCAGAGAAATGCAAACTAAAACTATGATGAGATTTCGCTGTTGACCAATGAAGATAGCAGTGAAAATGCTAGAAAGATCAACATTATATAAACTCTCATAAACTGCTGGTGGGTGAGATGGTGTCCCCTCGAAGGAAAACAGTATCGTGTACAATGAAATCTTCGCATACCAAACCACCAAGCAGTTGTATTCAACAAGTCATCCAGCACTGGACTACTGGCTGATATGCTGGCAGTCTGCACCCACCCAGGGATACGAATGACAAACCTAATCTGCTCCTGAAGTCAGAGTCTTCTGGACATTCTCCTCTCCACGTACCCGTGGAACTGCCAAGGAATTGCATTGACCCAACAGTGACAAACTAACACCAATAACAAACATTAAGAAACCAGTTACAAAGCTACTTGCAAGAGACCATTCACAGCAATATGCATAATTACCCCACAATAGAAACAATGCAAACATCCATTAACAGGACATGATAAGACAATTGTGGTATACAATGATAAGGAACAAACTATTAACACATGCAATGTTGTTGCAGATTGCTATTGAGTAGAGCATGACTCATAGTGACTCTATGAAAAAAAGACCTAATGCCTTTCCATAATTATCATCATTTCGGCAAGCCCATAGAGTTTCCAGAGACATGTGGTTTAGGAAGAAAGTGGATGTCACTCCTGCTTACACACATGCAATACTATTCCTAAAAAGAAATCAGATGTAAAAGAACACACGGAACAATTCCACTTACTTAAAGTTATAGGTCAGGCTACAGTGGCCTGATTACCATGGTCTGTAACTCCTACAGAAAACTTGAGATTATGCCAACAAGTTGCATGTGGACTATTAAGAGAATTAGACATCCAAGGTACATGGAATCCAGAGACAGGATAAGCCAGTTTGGATCACACTGGGTTACAATGTATCCCAGATCAAAGGCAGAGGGACCTCATACAATTAAGAAGAGAAGGGAATAGGCACATTCTTTGGACCCAAAGTCCCTGTGCTGTGAACCTCCTTGAACAAGGAGATGGAGAAAAGATGCTATAACACTGGAAAAAGGGAGAGATGGTGTGGCAGCAGCAAAAAGTGATAGATAGCAGCAAATATGGTGAAGCCTAGAGGCAAATAATTGAAGAGACTGGCATGAGATGGTGCCAGCCCATACAGGGGGCTTCCTGGCCCATGAGGTGTCTACTGTGGCTACGCCAACCACAGTGAAAGAGAGATGAGGGCCTAGGGGCAGGTACTTGTTGGCACAAGGGAGCTGGGCTGCTTGACCCACAGAGGGAAAGAGCTGAGCACTGTTGGGCTGGAGGCTTACTATGGAGTGGACCGCCTCCAGACATTTACTAGAGGAAGTAAAGCGCTTTGTAACCTTTGTCTAAGCAGAACAGCCATTAGACCAAGGGCCAAGAGAGAGGCCTGCTTGGGAGTAAGGCTGGCAAGCAGCTATACTTATAGAACTGTATCTTGAGTTGTGTTATTTCAAAGTTGATCCTCATTCTGTTACTTCCCTAAGAAACTCCCAGAGTGTGAGTGTGGTCTGTTAATTGTGTCATCACTGTAACGAATTAACAAACCCCATGGAGGGACAGCTCGTGTTACAATTGGTTTAAAAAAAAGGGTAGGAGGGTAAAGTCATGTCTAATCTGTATCACAGAAGAATCATCCCTGAACTGACTGTGATCTTGATTCATTCTCTTCTACCCTTGAAGTTGAACCAGGAGGTCTGATGCCATGTCATCACTTTTACATGAGATTTACTGTTTGGAGGATCAGCAAAGAATTGGTTCCAAATTGACAACACATAACAACAACAACATCTTTTTAGTGATTATGGTATTTATTAGGGAAGTCAAGAGAAAATAATTCAGGTTGGCATCAGCACACAGTCACACAGTCAGGACAGTTTCCGAAATGTGCTCTCAGGCACCTCAGCCTTCAGTCTGGTGGTTTCAGGCCAGTGTTACAAAGCTCTCAGCCCCGCCCATTATGGCATCTACACAACCCCACTCCAGCCCTCAACCTATATTCTGTGGGGCAGCTCCCCAAGGTCTGCTCTGACTCACACAGGTCTCTGGTTTCCTCTGCAGCTGCTGGTCCTGCAGACCCTGGTCTGAGTGGCACAGGAATATCTGGCCCCAGAGCACTTATACTCTGCATTATCTGCTTCTCCTTTGCTACTTAGAATCTAAACTTTTGCTGCTGAATCCACTCAATGTAATGCCATGACCAGCTAATCCTCTTGTGAACAGGCCAACACACCCCAATTTTCATGTCCCCGCCCAGCTGTGTGGCAAAGTCAAGCTCAATGGCGAGTAAAGCCCTTTTGAACAATGAGCCCTTGATACCGCAAACTGGCCCCTGGCTTTTCTAGCCAAAATCTTTGTATTTGAAGAATTAACTTCCCCTCTAAAATAATTTTACTAATAATCACATTGGAGGAAGCAGGGAAATTAGAACAACAAACTTACTTATAATTCAGAAAGCATACCTGGGGCTGAGGTTGTGCAGGGAACAACCACAGAAGGGCATAAAAAATATGCTCTGGATTATTTCCAGGTCAATCTCCAGGCTTTGAAATTATGAGGGAACATGAGAACTTCGTATATTAATTTAACAAACCCCTATGGCTCACCAGTTGGAAGGAGGAGTGGCATCCACTTCCATAGTAGCTTGCCTCCGGAAACCCTATGAACCTGGAGAGAGGACGAAAGGCACTCAAGCATCGAGGACTCTCCTTCATAGGGTCGCTATGAGTTGCCTGCGACTCGACGGCACTTAACAACAACAGCAACAACATGGCTCACCAGAAGCTGTACTCCTCACACAAATGCTATCCTTTGC